ATATATATTGATTTTGAAATTTTTCTAAGCATGTACCACTTCATAAAAATTACTCAAGAATAAATCTATGGAACAAATGTAAATCAAGAATATACTACATCTGCATAAACTCCTCATGTTTTTTTATGCATTTTATGTGTCTTAAAGTGGCTGAATGTTGATTTCTTTAAGAAGCAGCTTAGACACATTTGATCAGACAAGTTTTTAGCTAAACGTATTACTTAATGTTTTATTTGTCATGGTGACTTGTTTTATTCTATGCTTTTATGCTCTTACTGTATGCTTATTTCAGTTTTGCTCTTTGTGAAGCACTTTCTGATGTATATCTGTGAAAAGTGCTTTACAAATAAAATTTACTGATTTACATATTGCATATTTCTTATTTCATCCATGTTTTTAATTTAAGACCAAATGTGTTATTAAATTTTTGAATATATTTGTGGCAGCTTTTAGATTAAAAATATTAATTTATTATAAAAATATAGTCACCCTCCACACTAACATTAGCCTATTTTGTGCTAAAGTTCAGTAAAAACAGGACAAATGAGGCTGCTACAGTTGCTATCACAGGACCCTTTAAGTGGGGAGCAGGAGTACACCGGTCATTTCAATGCCCTCAATGTTATATATGGTTGCTGCATTTGGCCACTTCAGTATCGTCCCTTGGGGTTCCCATTCAGCCCGGGGTGCTATACAAATGCCTACTTGCTCGCTGTATCGTGATTATTCTGCTTGCGGGCAGCACTCAGAGTATGTGAGAAAGAGCATCCTGTACAGGACACATCAATTTGTCTGAAAATACGGGACATCCCGGCTAATACGGGACATTTGGCAACCCTATTTTGTGTGAATGTAAAATGTTGGAAAATTTGTGTAATTTATGGGTAATCTGTACGACTTGACATGCATGTTTTGACTCAGTCCGTTTACTCAAACTGAGCAAATTTGGTGTGGTAGTAGCTGAGAGTCATCCCCAACACAAACWCTGAGAACAAACAGATCATAAAAGATCTTTGTTCATTGCCGTGGTGTGCAAGGCAAAATCCATTCCTTCAAGACACACGAGGCTTTTTTTTCTTTTGGTATGTTAAATATTTTCTCTGAAAACACAAAAGTAAATTCTATTATAGATCCTTTAAAAAGAAAACAAACAATAATTTGGAGGCTGTTTTAGCAAGAAAATGTTTTGAATGCCAAAAACTGCAAACTAAACATGGTTTTTAATATCGACAGTAAAAACAAGCTTGTTTTTCTATTGAGCAGTTTTCTTCTTTTMGTATAAAACTTTGTTTTCACGTCTCATTTCTCTCTTTGATCTAYGATTTTCCTCCAAACTGGAACATCTGTGGTCATTTGATGAAGCTCATTTCCATCTACRAGAACATTTGCTTTGTTCTTACTGACTACATATTTATCTGTGGTTTCTCATTATGTCTATCCATCTARTAAGGATGATGGGACAACATATCGTCTGAATGAGCTGTGAGGAGGAAAAGTCTTGCTCTTCATCGAGGTTGAAGGTTGAAGTGCTGGACTGTATTGTAGAACAGGGTTCTTATAGAGCATAGAAAGTTGATACATAATTTAAACTTCTCCAAATCTGATTTCCCCTGCCAAGTCTCAGGGTAGATGGCTCAAAGCTCAGGATGAGTGTTCAAACACKGCATAAAACCATGAATGTTTGTCTTAGAAACTCATGTTTCTGATGGAGAGTCAATCAGAGAATAACTTTGTTTTAGCTGTCAGCAAATTGAGTATTTAGATCAATATAGAGCAAGAAAGCAAAGATGCGCAACTAAATGTTTGTATTTAAACCAGCTCTGAACTGCTGTTTATGATAAATTACATTTCAGTCAAAGAAGGGAAATGTTACCATCTGGAGCTGGTTCGAAAAGTGTTTTTTCTACAAATTTAAACTAAAAAAAAAAAACAGAAAAGCTGAATACTTTGATCAGACTGTAGTAAGACTTTTCAGTTGGGTAACAGTAATCCTGCTCAGAACAGGACGACCCACAGGYTAAGACTTGTGGGAGCAGAATGATAAAGTCTTTGAGCTTGTTCAAAGTCAGGGCTGGTGCAGTTTTACACCTCAGTGTTTACATCCTAATATGAAATTACTCCCTGAGCCGTGTGGACACAGCGACACATGCACTTGGCTTTTATTCCACATGTATTTTTGTGAGTTTTCTCTTCAGAGTGTTTAAAGTCTGACGGACWTATTACCCTGTGCTGCACATTTCACAGCAAACTGGGACCTTATTTATCACCAATCCTTATGTTCTTCCTCATCCAGTAACGTGAGCTTGTTATCTTTTATGAATGAAGTCTCTGGGCAAGCAGAATCCTTTTTATTTTTATCAGTAGCTTTATTTTGAGTGGAACTGGCATCAAAAAAAAAAAAAAACCCTGAAAGTCTGAGTTGACAACTACTCCAATACCTGTAAGTCTTTGTTGTAGGCTTTTGTCATAGAAGAAAAACCTGCTTTGTTGAACTTGCTTCATTGAATAATCTTCCATACTTGTTGGCACTTCTGTGCTCTGACCTGTGAATTGGTCAACAGTGTCCTACAGTTGTCTGAGAATCGTTTCTCTTTGGCGAATTTGGATGTAATTTTGGATTCATACCCAGAGAGAACTGATGAAATCTGCTCATGCTCATGCAGTTACAAGATGTTACTCTCAGCATGAATGAGAAACTGTATCGCAGAACTCTTAGTAAGCTCCTCCCCACAGTAGCAGAACAAATTTCTTTAAATCGGGGTTCCTGCTCTTATTTCCCCRTACAGAATTTTGCTTCCCTTACCGCAAACAAACATTCTTAATTTAAAAATTGAGACAGTATGCTATTTGGGATTTGCTAATTTCTCTGAAARTGACCGTCAAACATTTCTGAGAGACGGTACACAATAATGAGCATTCATAGCGAACATATTTCTTATTCCTTCTGGCTAACAAAGTCACGGAGAGCCGCCTGTGTCTCCATACTGTCGCATCTGTCTCCTTCTATGGTTTCTTTGCCATTTGACAATCATTACATCTTGCAAGAAAAATTGTAAAAGCGGCTGTGTTTTTTAAGACTTGGCCAGCTGCTCCTCAGTGATGCAGTTAAAGCAAGTTTGTTGCATTTCACTTGTTTTCCATCTTAAACACGACCCCAGTAAACAAAGTTGTCACACAATGGTAAATGCAAAACCCTGAGAAGAAAARTTCTGTTCGGATTTTGTGTCGAGAAAGACTTCTCTGTGCTCTTAGAMCACAGGTATCACTGGTCAAAAAGGGCCGCTATCCTGCATGTTTTAGAGTCCAACTGATGATAACATCATTTCAGCTGTCAGAACTACAACTTTAAGGCTTCCACATACTCCATTTGAATTGCTAAAATCGGCTCTCATTATCACAGTTTCATGTCAAAAATTGTGCCATGAGAACTGTTCACACCCCTCTGCGTAAGAACGTAATATTGCTCAAAAGTCTGTAGGTGCATTTCCTCCCACAGAACAAAAATATATACAATATGGGGTGCACTGATTGCAGTTTTCTGGCTGAACACCAATCTTTAAAAAATCCGACCTGCCAATTCCGATTTTGGCCAATGCCAACTTTTTAAATATCTGACACTGTCAAGGGTTATAAGGTCACAATATACCTTCAATAATCCAGTCTTATTTTATTAAAAAAAACATTCAACAATACCCTTGAAACAATTCAAACTTGTTTTAACGGGACATTAGCCAGTGCTCACAGGAGAGCAAAAGGGGACAATGGGCCTCATGCAAGAACCGTTCGTACGCACAGGTTTGTTCTTAAA